ATTTATTATTATTATTACTATTTAGTATTTTATTATATTATACATACATTTTTATATTTATATATATTTTTTATTATTTTATTTATATTATTTATTTATTTTCATTATATTTTTAGTTTCTTTGCTCTTATTATTATTTTTCTTTTTTTAAAAAAATATTTTACCTTTTTTATTCTTTTTGTATATATATTTTATCTTCATTTATTTTATTTTATTCAATTTCATTTTTTTATCCAATTATTTTATGTTTATTATTATTGGTTTCATTTATTTCATTGGTTTACTCTTTAATTTTGTTACTTTCTTTTATTATTATTATTATTTTATTTTAAAATCTTATTTTTTAAGGGTATTTTCGTAAACTCACTAAGGGTAAATAATTCGGATCAAATTTTACCTTTTAATTTAACTTGCAAATTTATTAATCAAAGACAACTGGAAATTACGTAGTACCGAAATGACGGTTCAAGGGTGCTAATCCTTTCTTGACTGTAACTGACTCCCGAACCCGACACATATTTGGAAAGACGTAGATCAGGTAAGAAATAGGGTATCCGATCAACCCATTTGTTTTAAATAAATGATCGGTGGCGACTCCAATCCGCATTTTTCAAGTCGAAGCCCAATTCCGGAGCTCAACCGAAAGACTGTGGCGACAGAGATAACAGATAAAGAAGCTTTCGAGTGAGCTCGGTGGCTATGGCGGGAGAGCAATTACAGGTGCTTAATGCTCTTGATGTGGCCAAAGCACAATGGTACCATTTCACTGCCATCATCATTGCCGGGATGGGTTTCTTCACCGATGCTTATGATCTCTTCTGCATCTCTCTCGTCACCAAATTGCTCGGCCGGATATACTATCACGTTGATGGTGCGGAGAAGCCTGGAACTTTGCCTCCTAATGTCTCGGCAGCCGTTAATGGCGTGGCGTTCTGTGGAACATTAGCAGGCCAGCTCTTCTTTGGTTGGCTTGGTGATAAGCTAGGCCGAAAGAAGGTGTATGGTATGACTCTAATTCTCTTTTGGCCATACCCCTAAATCTGTGATGGCAACCCCTTGCTTCTTCCGGTTTTGGCTCGGCTTCGGCATCCGCGGCGACTATCCGCTTTCTGCCACCATCATGTCTGAATATGCTAACAAGAAGACCCGAGGAGCGAGCTTTCATTGCTGCAGTGTTTGCCATGCAGGGTTTTGGAATTTTAGCAGGTGGTCTTTTTGCAATTATAATATCCTCTGCATTCAAGGCCGTGTTTGATGCTCCGCCGTACGAGGTCGATGCTCTGAGCTCCACCGTTCCGCAGGCCGACTACGTTTGGCGTATCATTTTGATGGTCGGAGCACTCCCGGCTGCTCTTACCTACTACTGGAGGATGAAGATGCCTGAAACTGCTCGTTACACCGCACTTGTTGCTAAGAATGCAAAGCAGGCTGCATCTGATATGTCGAAGGTCCTGCAGATGGACATCGAGGCCGAATCAGAAAAGATCGAGCAAGTCGAAAAGGAGAAACCCCGATTCGGTCTGTTTACTAAGGAGTTCGCTAAACGCCATGGACTCCACTTGCTTGGAACAACAACCACTTGGTTTCTGCTTGACACTGCATTCTACAGCCAAAACTTGATCCAAAAGTATATCTTCAGTGCTATCGGGTGGATTCCTTCTTCAAAGTCCATGAACGCCATTGAAGAAGTTTTCAGAATTGCAAGGGCACAAACACTGATTGCTCTTTGCAGCACTGTACCAGGCTACTGGTTCACAGTGGCTTTCATCGATAAGATGGGGAGATTTGCCATCCAGTTAACGGGATTTTTCTTCATGACTGTGTTCATGTTCGCACTGGCTATCCCTTATGACCACTGGACACATAGGGACAACCGAATCGGCTTCGTTATCATGTACTCACTGACATTCTTCTTCGCAAACTTCGGACCAAACGCCACCACGTTCGTCGTGCCAGCCGAGATATTCCCGGCAAGGTTGAGGTCCACTTGCCATGGTATCTCGGCAGCCTCGGGAAAGCTCGGTGCTATCGTTGGTGCATTCGGGTTCTTGTATTTGGCTCAGAATAAGGATAAAGGCAAGGTATATGCAGGGTACCCTGCAGGCATTGGGGTGAAGAATTCACTCATTGTATTAGGTGGAATCAATGCCTTGGGGTTCCTCTTCACATTCTTGGTGCCAGAATCTAAAGGAAAATCCTTAGAAGAGATGACAGGTGAGAACGAAGATGATGAAGGACATGGAGAGGCAGAGTTATCTTCATCTACCAGCCACAGAACAGTTCCAATTGCTTAGGACACGAACCAGTTTCATGGCTCATATTGTAATATTGAACCATTAGATCGACTTTTGAACTAATTTTAATAATATATATATATATATATATATATATATATATATATATATATATATATATCACCTGCAAGTTTTAAAACCTCGACAATACGTTGTATGATCTGTGTTTAGGGTATATAATTATCTCTCGTAATAATATCATCTTTAAGTTTCAAATTCGGATGAAACATTAGAAATGATTAATTTTTTCAGATAAACAAATCAAACGCTGTTATTTTCAGAGAAAAGATTGAAAGAAGAGCAAAAATGGTGGGGCAAAAATGAAGTTTTCGATTGTTGAGGTATTGATTTGAAGGTGAAGAAATATATAGGAAGTTCATCTTTAAACCACGCCCATCCACAATTGAATTTGAACCCCTCAAGTATTGTATTTCCAGTGCACATGGCTGCCTCCGATCATGATGCAATCTGAGGAGTTCAAGGGTTAAAATGATACAACCAAAAATGTTATATCGTTTAATTATAAAATAAATGTCCAGATTATATCGTTTTTCGTAAATAGGTGTCCAATTTTTTTTTATTATCTATATGCTTAACGTTATAAATGTTATCACTTTTGGTATCCCAATCATAACGACCTTTAAAGAATTCTGTTAAGTGAAATGTGTGTCACGTTATAGTAATTTTAAATTTTTTATTTAAAATAAAAAGCTTAAAAATATAATTTTATTTATAAAAAACCCAAAACTTTTGAAAATCTTTAAGAAAACCCAAACTTTGAAAACATTTATTCCTATCTCTATACCCACGCCGATCACCTTCGTTAGTCATCGTTCGCAGTTGTTATCGTCGACGAGCCTCAACCCGACCGAACCGCCACTGATGACACAACCACCCGAAGAGCCCCTAATCGATGATTTAAACTCGACAAAAAAATAGCAAATCGAAGCTACCTGACGAATCCGACGACAACTACGACAGCATGGGCAAGGACAACTAAATGGAGACGGTAAGGATGGAGAAGACATTGATGCCGTGGCCAAAAAAGGAGAAATTAAGGATTCAATGATGATTTTAGAGATTCGAGTCTTTTATGTAATTTTTGAAAAAAATTATAGTTTTTCATAAATATAATAATATTTTTTAAGAGTTTTAAACTTAAATAAAATTTTAAAATTTTATAAAGGTGACATGTGTATTTTAACGGCATAATTTAATGGTTGCCACGTGCCGAGCACTTAAAATGATAACACTTGCAACTCTAGACACATGAATGAATCGAAAAAAAGTTTAGACACTTATTTGAGAAAAATGATATTGTCTAGGTGCTTATTTTATAGTTAAGTCTAAACCTAATAACATATTTATAAACTTCTTAATAATTGAATGATTTGCAGTGCAATTTAACCTTAGAAATTCCGTAAGTTCACAACAGCTATTCTCATTGGATCATCGGCGTGGAAAAATATCATTTAAGAGACCAAAAAGAGAGTGCGTTTGGATCCGATTCTCATGGGTTTAATATGAACGCATAGTTCAGCCGCAACCACAAATTTAGAGCAAAGGACCGTCACGTGTTTTGGCGAAAGTTGAAACCTCCTACCAATTTCATTTTCTCTCTAGTAAAATCAAATTACCAACAACTACATCTTTGATTTCCGACGAAGCCACGTTTTCTTCCTATATAATCTTTTAAAACATTTTTAACGTGATTTATATTTAACAAATCACGATCTAGAAATATTTGTTAAAGTGAGCACATGCTTATTAATAACATAAATTTTTTCGTATATGTAGATACAAATAGGATTTCAAAGTGAACATGATTAGTAAAATGAACAATAAATATATAAAAAAATCGGATTTCATGGTGGACATGTGCCCACTCTGAATGCCATATAGGTCTGCCACTGTGTTTAACGTTTGGTCATTTCGAATTTAAGAAGAATGGTTAACCGCACGAATCGAATGATCTCAGTAATTAAGAGATTTGTTGTCGTCTCTTAAGGTATCGAGTTCGAACATTATGTTTGCAGAAGTATGAATATTCATTGTCAAAGGGTTAAGAGTCGTTTAACATATATTACCTTATCTGATTAAAAAAAATCAAAAAAATAAAAAATCTATTTAATTACAGTGTTTAGATAATCTAAAATTTATGACTGTTAGAATGAATAAAAAACTATTTAATTTATAGTTAATTTAGATATTTTTATAATTTTAAAATAATAATTTTATTTAAAGTAGTGAAATAACTTAAAAAATATAATATATAATTTTTTTATTTTTTAAAATATTTACAGAAAATAATCAAATCAAACCGAATCAATCTTAATATCCAAAAGTATCACTATCTTATAATTAAGTTTTCCCATCAGCCTGACCATTAATTTAGATGTTAAATACCAATTTAACACAGCATGGATCATATCTAACACTAGTTAATCAAAAATGATCTTCGAGGATTCAATTGTAATATTTTAAAATTTAAGGGCTAATTCAAAATATGGGTGTTAGTTTTTATGCGTGTGCGAAATTGACCCACGAAAGTACGTGAGAAAGTTGTAAACGAGAAAGTTGGAAGAGTCCGAGTCCGACTCGGAGTCCATCTGGGAGGATTGAGTTGGATCACGAGTGAACGTCTTAATAATATCAGAAAAAAGTGGCGGAATATTCTGAGCCATAGTATTTGGAAATTGGAATATTTTGTTTTCTGGTGTGTTATAAATACTCTCTCCATGCTCTTTCACTTCCCTGCATCATAGATTTTCCTCCCAAATTTTCCTCTCGCTTCTTCAAGAAACGAACGGTATCTGTCTCTCTCTCTCCATCCCTTCGTTCTTCTTTGCATATGTTGTGTTTGTTGTTTTCTCTCGTGTTCTTTTTGTTTCTATCGGTGGGGATAATGAATAGAACTGTACCTGCATGCAAGTGGGACTTGCTTTTTGTTAGTGACGACAAGAAATAGCTTTTTTATGAATCTGGGTTTTCTTTTTCGCCTGATTCTATTTTTTTAAACGTGATTAAACCCTTGTTTACGATCAGGGTCTTGATTATGTTTTTTCCGTTGTTGATGATCTTCTCTTTGTAGCTTCTCCAAAGTTCTGGGTTTTTTAGAATCATGCAAAAAAGACGGCTAATTGAATAAACTAACTGATATTCATCTTGGTTTGTAATCGTTCGTATGCAGCTTTATCACCTTCACTAACCGACATAAATATACAGTTTTCAATATTAGACTTCACTTGGACAGAAGGTTTCTCTGCCTTTGGTGAGGGAAAAAAAGGCTTTTCAAGGATTGAAGAACAGAAATTTCATACTATTAGTCTCACATTATTTTTTTTCCATTTAAAGATATGAATACTCTTAATAGGAATCGTTCTTTTACAGTCTGTCGAGAATAATATTCCCCGAATATTCAAGCAGTAGTTTGAGTTTCACATGTCTTTGTTTCCCACTTATCCGGGAGGCTGTTGACTTTCCACGCATTATTATTGGTTTTAAAATAGGAGGAGCATTTACTATTAGTCTCCTTTGTTTGTAATCCATTTGGCTAATTAAAGTGAAAAAAATATCAATTATTTATGTTCTTTTGAGTTGATTCTGATACTTGTGCCTATAAATTTTGCAGAGAAGGAGATATCAGATAAAGAAGCTTGTGAGTGAGCACGACAGCTATGGCAGGAGAGCAATTACAGGTGCTTAATGCTCTTGATGTGGCCAAAACACAATGGTATCATTTCACTGCCATCATCATTGCCGGGATGGGATTCTTCACCGATGCTTATGATCTCTTCTGCATATCTCTTGTCACCAAATTGCTCGGCCGCATATACTATCATGTGGATGGTGCGGAGAAGCCTGGGAGTTTGCCTCCCAATGTCTCGGCTGCCGTTAATGGTGTGGCATTATGTGGAACCTTAGCAGGCCAGCTCTTCTTTGGTTGGCTTGGTGATAAGCTAGGCCGAAAGAAGGTGTACGGTATGACTCTAATGCTCATGGTCATCTGTTCTGTGGCATCGGGTCTCTCTTTTGGCAGTTCCCCTAGATCTGTGATGACAACCCTTTGCTTCTTCCGGTTTTGGCTTGGCTTTGGCATCGGTGGTGACTATCCACTTTCTGCAACCATCATGTCTGAATATGCTAACAAGAAGACCCGCGGAGCTTTCATTGCTGCAGTTTTTGCCATGCAAGGTTTTGGAATTCTATCAGGAGGTCTTTTTGCAATCATATTATCCTCTGCTTTCAATGCCTTGTTTGATGCTCCACCCTATGCGGTTGATGCACTTCGTTCCACAGTTCCACAGGCGGACTATGTTTGGCGTATTATTTTGATGGTCGGAGCACTCCCGGCTGCTCTTACCTACTACTGGAGGATGAAGATGCCTGAAACTGCTCGTTACACTGCACTTGTTGCTAAGAATGCGAAGCAGGCCGCATCTGATATGTCAAAGGTCCTGCAGGTGGACATTGAGGCTGAGCCAGAAAAGATTGTGCAAAGCGAAAAGGCGAAGTCCGGATTCGGTTTGTTTACTAAGGAGTTTGCTAAACGCCATGGACTTCACCTGCTTGGAACCACCAGCACTTGGTTCTTGCTTGACATTGCATACTACAGCCAAAACTTGTTCCAAAAGGACATCTTCAGTGCTATTGGCTGGATTCCTCCTGCGAAGACCATGAACGCCATTGAGGAAGTTTTCAGAATTGCAAGGGCACAAACACTAATTGCTCTTTGCAGCACTGTACCAGGCTACTGGTTCACAGTGGCTTTGATTGATAAGATGGGAAGATTTGCCATCCAACTAATGGGCTTTTTCTTCATGACAGTGTTCATGTTTGCACTGGCCATCCCTTACGACCACTGGACACATAGGGACAATCGAATCGGCTTTGTAGTCATGTACTCGTTGACTTTCTTCTTTGCCAATTTCGGACCAAACGCCACCACATTTGTCGTTCCTGCTGAAATTTTCCCGGCAAGGTTGAGGTCTACTTGCCATGGCATATCTGCAGCCGCCGGAAAGCTAGGTGCTATTGTTGGTGCGTTCGGGTTCTTGTATTTGGCTCAGAACCAGGATAAATCCAAGGCAGATGCAGGGTACCCCGCAGGCATTGGGGTAAAGAATTCACTTATTGTATTAGGTGTAATCAATGCCTTGGGGTTCCTCTTCACTTTCTTGGTGCCAGAATCGAAAGGGAAATCATTGGAAGAGATGTCGGGCGAGAACGAAGTCGAAGAACAAGCAGAGGCAGAGCCGTCATCTGCCACAGTTCCTTGAACGAGACGTATTGTAAAAGCTATCCATATGCTATAAATGTTTAGATGTCAGGTTTCAGTTCATTGTTCTTTCTTTCAAATACATAATTTCGTATAAAAAACTTTCAATGTTTCAGTTTCTGTACCTTTAAATATGAGTGAATAGAGAATTTCATGGTTTCTGTTCATTTTTCTTCTTTGATATATTCATAGTATCAAATTACAGTTGCGGATACTAGCTGCTGTCGCGGGCGTAATCTCTTCTTCAAAAATTACAATACATCTAAAATATTATATTTATACATTTTACAGTTATTTTTTAATATTCTAATATTAATATACTTTTTTAATATTTTATTTTAAAAATAAAAATTTAATTTTATAGATAAAAATTTATTAAAAACAAATATAAATTATAGAAGTGGATAATGAGAAATAACAATTATAATTTTAATGAATAACATATAAACAATATTACTAAATTTATATCAAATTTTTTATATTGTAACATAAAAATGTTCATTTTACATAATTTAGAAAGAAAAAAAAAATACATAACTACAAATATAAGAATTATATATCTTACAGGACAGATCTAAAGCATTTTCATCTTTGTCATTGTCTTGGTTTTGATTCTTTTCTAATCAATATGGAGAAGACATCACATTATGTGCATCATAAGATACATCATTGGTAGGAAACATGTTGTATATAATAATAAATAAACATACTATACTTAATGTTAATATAAAATTTTAATTTTAAATTAATCACGTTAATTTTAGATATGAGAAAATTTTAATTTAATTTTAAAATAACATTAATAAATAATTTAATTAATTCAAATTTAAGTAACTAATTTTAAACATAACTATTACTATATTATTAATGATATATATTTATAATCTAATTTCAAGAATTAAATTAGAACAATTCATCTATATAATTTTATATTTCCGATAATTTAAAGTTTGTTGCGGCGATGCGACATTATTTATAGCGTATTGCGGTGTTACATAACGGGTTTTGACCGTAACAATCGTGATGCAGTTCCTTTATCGTATTGCTCTGATATTACGTCGTGGTAACCTTAAAAAATATTACGATGCGACCGTTACGCTGTGTTGCGACCGCAATTTAATACTATGTCCGTATTATTGCCTGTGAACAGCCAATTGAAACCCAGAGTTTGTCTTCTTCCTTGCGTATTCTTTCACTTCACGTTAACCGCTACTGGCAAATTTTCAAAGTAGTTTGTTATGAGGTGTTCACTTATACGGCAAAGGACCTTTCGAAGCTTTGACTTGTGCATTGAAAATCTTGTCGAGAGATAGTAGTCATCATTTTTGAGTAATTGTTATATTGTTCAGACAAATGTTTCAAACTCTGAACACCTTGCTGGGTTCTTGTTGCAACTCTGATTAGGTTGCTTCGATAACGTTGAGCTAAGGCAAACTCATTCGTCTAACTGAGCACTGCGATTATTCAAGCCAACGAAATTGACCGAAACTAACTGTTGAATTAATGCATGTTTCTTTGAAATATATTGCAGCAGGCTAATAGGGTTTTAAGCTGATAAATCACATGCTTGTTCGAAACTGATTCTGCATGTAGACGAAGCATGGACAGAAGGGCTAACCCGGAGTTGCACTGAACGAGCAGCCCTCGTAGAGTGGACTTATACCGAAGCTCACAAAAACAAAATCTTCAAATGAAAAGTCTACTTTTGTACTTCCTTTTTGGTCTTTTCTCTCTTTCACTCTTGATTGTCAAACGTGCTAGGCGAACGAATCTCTACCGTCCATGGGGTCCCTTCAGATTATTATTATAATGATTTTATGTTATCGGGATGAATTTGAGTTTTTCAAATTTCGGGAGGTAAACTTAAACTTATAAAATTTTATATGACATTAAATAATTAATGATCGAATGATTTAAATAAATATCATTTGAAAGTTTAATAGTTAAATTACTTTTTTATAATAGGGTGACGAAAATAGAAACAAGATAAAACTTAGGTGATTACATAGGTAGTTTACCCAAAAGAAAATTATTTCAGAAGCTAACCCAATCAAGTAACCGAATTCAGTCCAGTTCAGCCCAAATACTGGTCCATCGTGCAAACTTACAAATGGAGCAATGTTATTGGCTGGAGGACTGACAAACTGATGTGGACAATCCGGACCTTTTGACTTCAGAACCCGAAGGGATCCGATTCGAGCCCGACAAAGCTTTCACCAAATTAGGGGTTTTAGGGTTCTAAACAATCTCAGAAGTTATTTTCGCGCGAAAATATGGATCACAATGGTAGCCTTTACGATCACATTCTTCTTTCCGGTAAATGTTTCCATCGCTTTTCTGATTAAAGAAGAATTGAAAAATCTTTGTTTCCAGGTCAGAGAGGATCATCAACGCCGTCAGCGATGCTGGCTTCTCTGCTCAGTAGAAGAGCTAAGCATCAAGAAGAGCTTCGGAATATCGAGAGACAAGTAATTTCATATGTTTTCCCCCAATTTTATTCAAATTATATTGTATTTTTCATCACTGTTTCTGGTTTTGAGTGGTAGTGGAAAGCTAAATGCAGGTGTATGATATGGAGACGAGTTATTTACTGGATCCGGGCCAATGTGGCAACGTTTTGAAAGGTTTTGAGGGGTTCCTCTCTTCATCTAATAAGAACACTGCCCTGTATGGAATTCCTGCTTTATCACTTTTTCTTTAATTTTTGCCTGGGTGATGTTAAATTTTATGTTATTACATGTTTAGGATTTACTTAACTAGAAAAGCATAATCTCAGACTATAGGTTACGGTAGATGTATTGCTTAAGTGCAGTGCGGATTCGCAAAATCTTAATGTTTTAAGATTACATTTCAAGATAGACTAAAATTCTTTAAGTAGAATTTGATTCTATGCAAATTTGTATGAGTCTTTTATTGGTGTTGTCTTGCAGCTCAAAGCGGTCCAGGAAGTTCCAACTTGAAGATAGGCTATTCTCATTATCTTCAGTAACGTCTCCTGCGGTCCGTATTCATCTTAATTGAGTTGCCCTCTGTTTTCCGTTAAATCTTTCTTGTTTGCTCGTTTATCCACTTCTTTCCATGTCAAATGAACTGAAGTATGAGATTGGTTTCTTCAATATATGTCTTGTTGCAACCAAAGAATGCGGCTATAGACAATGTCGAATTGCCTTTATGTAGAGTTGCATGGGGATTATCTTCGTGTATGATTCTTAATTGGATGAAGATGTTAGAATCTAAATGAGATGGTATTTGAATCTTGTCAATTGCATTCTTTTCGTAGTTGTCTTCTTTGGATGTGAGGGAGGGGGGTTCTCCGTTTCTTTTAATATCCTCGTTTCACAAGGGCCTTGTATCCTCTTGCATTCAATCACACTTAGTGAATCATTCTAGCATCCACAGAGAAGCTCATGAACTGATGCCCTTTTAGGCCAAAACCTTCTTCACCCTTCTCAAATGTGAGCATCCAAATTATTATATTTCTGCCCATTCTACAGTAAATCCTGATAAAGTTTCCAAACTTGAACTCAAAAGGGCTGAAGGCCATCATCGAAGTGCTGAAATTTTCTTTTTCTCGGCACATCAAAAGTCAGATCCTGTTGCATTTTCAATTTTCATACATGTCGCCACTTTATTTAAAAAGTTATCGATATTATAATTACAGTGGCCAATTTGTGTGTGTCAGTGTGTGTAACTCTTCATGGATGCATGAAAGGTAAAAGTCTTAGTAAAATACTTGTTTTCTGTTTACTATTTATTAACTTTAAATTAGCTAGATAGAGCAAAGGGAAAAGGAATGGTGTTTGCAACTTGTTTTCTCTCGTAATTTTGTTTGCCAGGAGGTTTCTGATTTTTCTTTTTCTATTATTTTGCCAGGCTGAAGAGGTTGCTGCTGCTAGAGATGGTGACCCTCTAATTTGCAGGTTCATCAACAAACTTCTCTTCTTTATGTTTATTGTTTGTTATCCTTCGAGTTTAGCTGATAGGAAATCCGACTACGGTCCAGTCAGTCAAAGGACGTTATAGTCTTGCAAACGGCTAAAGCTCTCAAGTATCTGTGTATTCTTTACAGAGGAAAACCTAAAAGGGGAAGAGGCCGAGAAGCAAAGAGAATGAGACACTCCGCTGAGCCGGATTTCGACTATGACGATGATCCCGACGTGACATTGTGAAAGCACTCGGATCTAATGAAGTGCTCATTGGGCTTGCCTTAACGTCTTCAAGCTTTAATGTCCGTCTTCGTCTCAAAGCAACCGGTGATGGCAAAGGCCATTTACATGATTTTCAAGCATACCAGATGAAAAGAAAAGGCCTTTTACTTTTCACGGTGCTCAAAATCAACGGGGTTCGTATGGTTATAGAGTTGAATGATTGTAAATGAGCCTTGGAAAGTTTTATCTTCTTACGAGCAAGTTCATGCAACAAGTGTCGTCTTGTGTTGTTCTACTCGGCATTTTAACGGATACTTGCACAAAGGAACCAAGACCTTGTGGTTTTTGGTTGAAATTGGCTTTGAATTTGAATGATTATATGTTTAGTTCAAACGTTCGGACTATATTATTACGAACTTCGAAAAAATTATTCTGAGTCATGAAATGAATACCAAGGACCAATTTTTAACGGTAACTCCTCAACGTTTAACAATACTATCTAATTAGATTAGTTTTTCAGTTCTCATGAACATAAAAATATGATATCATTATGTGACAAATTAAAGTGGAAGGACCAATGTTTTAATTTTCGTAAAGTTAAGGTATGAAATTCAAATTAGACCAACAATTAGTCATATATTAAAATATAATGGGTAAAGTACACAAATGGTCCTCTCACTACAGGGGCATTGCTTTTTTGAGTCTTTGTAAGTTATAAAATGATCCCTAATTATAGGGTGTTATTTTGTTGAGTCCCCTAACTATTAAAAGTTACAAAATGATCACTTGAGTATTCATATGTTCCAAACTCGTTCTTTTCTATTAAAAATTGATGGTAATTTGAGTTAGACGTTGACATGTTTAGTGAGATATGATAAAATCTGATCTCATAATCTTAAACGATTATATAACGAAAATAGTTTTGAGATCAATTTTTATTTGGGGTGTTCAAAATACCCGACCTAGTTGACCCAGCATGCCAACATGTCAACCCGAGTTTAAAAAAATTGAATAGTTATCTAAAAAGGTTATTCGATTGGGCCGAGTACTCGGCCCATGATTTTTCCCGATTGTTGGGTCTGATCTGGGCCAATTTTTTTAAAAATCGAGTATCGCACCCAACCCGATAGTATTAAATATATATATATTAAACTATACTTATATTTTAAGTTGCTTAATATTTTACCTTAAAATTAAATTTAAATCCCTAAGTTCTTTCTAAGTTTGTATTATATACTTTTAAGTTTTAAATTTAAAAAAATATTAATTTGTCAGAGATTCGAAAGAAAAAATCACAATCAATGTTAATATTTTTAATGTTTTATTTTGGAAATAAACTTTAATATATACATGTATATGTATCTATATATTTTTCCTTAAAATTAACTTCAAATCACTAATTTTGTGCATATATTATGTATTATGAACTTTTAAAATTTAAAATTTGTGTTTCATAAGGGAATTTAAAAAAAATAGATTTAAAATTATATATATATATATATATGAACTGAGTACTCATGATCCAAAAATACGGGTATTTGAATTTTATAGGTATCTGAACTTAACAGGCCGGGATATGGGTCGAAAAATATATTACCTGGAGAATCGGGAATTCGATTTTAAACATCCCTGGTTTTTATAATATCTCAGTTAACAGATTTACATCTAACTCAAATAACCGTTAATTTGAAACACAAAAATATCCAAATGCTACCGTAACAGGGCATTACATTACATTTTACACGTGTGTCATTTCCGGTCATTGGGATTGTTGATAATAACAAGGAATTGCAGATGATTGTGTGGCTTCTTCTTTCCGTCGTAGATGTGTGGAGTGTCGTTGAAGAAATGTGAGCTGTTCCAGTCAACACAGTGAATCCTCAGAGGACTGCCATGATTGTGGCTGATCTTCTAAAGGTTTGTTTTGTTTGTATGGTTTGAACCCAGAATTTACATGCATGCAAAGGTTTTTATCTGTCTGATTTTCCAATCGAACTCTTCTCAGGAATGGAAAGAAATACCCCCTGAAGAGGAATTTGTTTTGATTGAGGGAAATAAATTGACCGACATGCTGTTAGAACATAATGCTACCGGAGAAGACGTGCTGAGAGGTTGGTTCGCTGCTGCATATGCCGCAAGTATGAAGAAGTCCTTCCACGAGCCGAGTGCCAGCGCATTGCAAGATGCTTACGACAATATGAGCAGCATCTTCCCTCCATTCCCATGCGAGCTACAGGCTAAAGGTTGGCATGCCGATCGTTTTCTTGATGGAACGGGAACCCGTTTTGCGTTTTGAGAAATAGTATTGCATTTGTTTTTATATAGGCAGTGATATACTTGGGGCATAAATGATACGTTAGTATTTGTAAATTATTCGAGTTTGAATTAAAACAACTCAAATTCATTTCAGTAATAATAGAACTCAGCTCAAGCCATTGATCAAGTTGAGTTTGAGATCCGTTGAGCCCCGTCAAACTACATGTTTTTAAAAATAGTATTAAATTACATAAATATTCTTATTTTACATGCAAAGATACTTAATTCGTGTTAGAACTCAAGCTTAAATAATCCCTACTATAGGATATTATTTTATATCCCTCAACCATTAAAAGTTACAAAATAATCATTCAACTATAGATTGTTGTATTATTAAGTCTCTCGACGATTAAAAGTTACAAAATTGTCCCTGACAATTCATTCTGTTCCAAACTCATCATTTTTCGTTAAAAAAAACGATTTAGGAACAAATACATAATGAATAATTTGGCGACTGTTTTGTACTTTGAATAGTCTAGGCTCAACAAAACAATCTAAAATCGGAATATCATTTTGTAATTTTTAATTGTCAAGATACCTAATAAAACAGTACCCTACAGTCGGGACCATTTGTGTACTATAAATACAATTGAACTTGAGAGAAAAAAATGGCGCTTGAACTCGGATAGTTCAATTGTATCAGATGAAGGAATTGGATATAGTTTACATACCAAAGGGGTATTTAGCCCTAATTTAATAAATTACAGTCTAATCCATATGACAAAAATACAGTAAAATTTTCTAAAAGTAAATAGAAGTGTATTTTATGTTCTCTTCATATTTCTACAATTACAATTGATTTAATTAACAACATTTTAAATGTAACATCTAACATGTTATATAATTCACTTTCAATTTGCAATAACACTTAAATATTAATATTTTGCTGATAAAATTCAGGCCATAACATAAACCAAACATTAACCAAAAAGATGCACGCAAAAGCAGAGCTCTTCCATGCTTTGCATCAATTTTCAACTCAAACTAACAATCAACTCTTGAAAGGTTGCAATAACCAATACTGGAAAACACCATTGCTCATATAATTTGTTTTGCCATGACAAATCACATATTGTTGGCATAAGTAGATTACCTACATCAATCGAATGGCAGACGGGCCAGCTATAGCAGCGACTTTCTGAGCTTGCTGGGTTTCACTCCTGTACAGCTCTTTCATCGCCTTCTTCATTTTACGTGCTTCGCTTCGCTCCATTTTAACAGCGAGCTGAAAACAATAATTCATCCATTCAGCAGTAAACACGCATGATGATGTGAATGATTAAACATCATTTCAAAGAAATCAACACAGTATCAGGCAGGTAGGGTTGAACACATTCAAGAACACATGCAAATAGATACAATACCTTCCGTTCTTTCTTTTCCTCCTTAGTCTCCTGACCGTGTTGCTTTCTCTTAATCTGTTCGGGTTTTATAATACCTGCAATCTTGACTTTTTCTGTAGTAGCCTTTCTGCTATAAGGTAAAAAGTCTACCGGGAGCCTTTCTTTTCCCCTGAGAGCTATCACCGGACTTTTGGCACTCAAAGCAGCAGAAACAGTTTCGGCCAACTTCTTTTTCCTAGCACCTGCCGGAGCTTCAATTTTTCCAGGGTGGTTATCAAGAGTCGAATATGTGGAAATGATGCTCTCACAATCAAAATGGTCCGATTCATCGCTGCTTTCCTCCACGACAATCTCTTTTTCATCTTCACTTTCATTTTCATACTTTTTGGCATATTCAGCACAACGACGCATGATATCAGGAGCAGGAGCTTTATACTCATCATCCTGCTCCAAATCATCCATATCATTCTCATTTAGAACATTTTTTAGCTTGTCTGCCAGTAACTCTTCTTCTTCAGCCATGTAACCCTCACAATCATCATCATTGTCATCGGAGCCATATTCTTGAAGCTCAAGCTACAAAAACCAGAGAATTCAATAAAATTATCAGTACTCTGTTCATGAAGTTCAATCAAAAGAAAGCAAGCAGAAGGTAAAACCTTCAGGTAAAATTCTAATCAAGCAAACTACAGTAAACAAATTCGACATAATTTCGATTTCTCTTAATAAACCTCCTAAATTGAAAGGAAGTCTTCAATGATCAATAACAATAAGTTCTAAACACAAAAATTACATCAAAGAAAAACAAAATAGATTGAGGTTTTACTCTAAAAAAGGACTCACAATGTCAAACTGCTCATCCAAAAGACGTCGGGGGCGTGATTTTTCTTCCACTTGAAAGTTCCTTGTTTCACTTGCAATCTCTTGGTTACATGATTCCAATTCAGTATTCATAACACCTTCATGAATAAACTCAGATTCTTCAACAAAACTCGACTTCTTATCACCCTCTCCTCCTTCACCGGTGTTTGCTCTAACAACAAAATCCTCTTCCAAATCCTCGACATCAGATCCAAACCGTGACAAATCGCTATCATTAAGCAGTGCAGCCACTTCAGGGTCAAACACTTTGTTCATCCTAGCATTAAGTGTGTTTGAAGCAACACTGTAAATCGATTTCTCATTGTAATTTCCTTTTGAATTCGATATTTGCACCCTCGAAGCATCATAGGCCTGAGCATAACACGCAAAAACATTAATCAAGCATAAAATCATCAGAAATTGAACCAAATTATTTAAAGAAGCTGAAATTAATTGAACAAACCTTAGCATCACTAGGAAGCTGGTCGGGCTTGAACTTAGGGTTATGATGGAAAGAAGAGCCCCCGCCGGTATTTCTAATCTCTCTCAAATGAATCAAATAGTTGTAACCATCATCTGGAAAACCTAGCTCCAAAATCTCCTTACGGACATTCTTCGGCAATGCGCCCTCATCGTACACGACCGCACGAGATGAGTTTCCCAACACCCTGTCGTGATCATCGCCGCCGCCGTCATTGTCATCAGGAGCATCGGCGAATATAGAGTCCTCGTTATCGCAGTGGCAGTCGTTACAGCAATTGCTATCTTCGTCAAAGACAGCGTCGAAGGAGACGGGGTTGGTGTCAACTCGGACGAAGACTCGGTCATTACCAGGTGAGTCACTATAAAATGGATCGGAGGTGTCTCGGGCGAGTAGTTGAAACGTCGCCGATTTCTTTTTATCGATGAATTTCTTCTTGCCCATTACTAGGTATTATTAGTTACTGCAAAATTCAACAGAATGAATAGTGATGATAGATTTTTCGGTGCAGTATAAAGTATAAACCCTAATTCTTTAGAGTTATGATAAAACCACAATCTGGAATCAGTAAGGTCAAAGCATGGGCTGGACCTAAGCCGAACTACCACGTCCAAGATCCAACGACATTGGTTACGAATATAGTAAGCCCATATATTAAAAAAAGTAAAAACTACACATTTAGTACCTAAACTATCATCCGTTTTAGTACCAAAATTTTCATTTTTTTCAAAATCCTGCGAAACATTTAGTTTTTATTTCATTTTAGTACACGTTGTTAAAAACTTAATGCGTTCAGTATCTAAACTATTAATTTTGCTCTGTTTTAGTACCTAAACATCCAATTTTTTTAACTTTCGAAAAATAACGTTAGTTCAAAAAATAAATGTGATAGGATGGATATGACTTGAGTCTAGGTTTTTAACTTTCTCGAATTCGATTAAAGTATTATACCATTTATCATTGACTAATTTGATTAGATTTGAATTCAAAAAGATTTTATTTAAATTAAAAAAAATATTTATTTTTTAAGATAAAAATTCACGCCTGACCCGAATCAAACTCATATTACCGAATCATATTCATTTTACAAATTCTTAGTACTATTACTAGTACTCATATCATCCCAGACTATTCAAAGTAAAATCAAAATGTAAAATTAGCCCTTATATAGATTTTTGATTTGATCACTAAACTATGAAAACTTACAATTTAGTCACTACCATAATTGAGATCGAATTTACAATTGGATCACTAACATTATTTAGATTGATTTCTTTCAGTAACCTATCTATTACATCTCTAATAGAATGTTGCCATTAATTTTTTTATAGGTCCTGTCCACGTGGACACGCCATGTTGATTTGAATCCATGAAATGAAACGTACAGGAAAATGTTTATTTCTCTGAGAATTTAAAACATGGTTGCATATACCAAGCTCAATACAATAATGTAAAATATCTGAAATTCATACAGATTATAGTCTCTGCTTCGAGCAGGCAAAGGTTATGACAATCGACGGTCGGAAGATCGATGGTGACGATCATTCATGGACTAATAATAGCACAGCAGAACTGTATCTCATTATTCAATAACACAAGGTCCCTGCATTTCATACATGAGAATCCTACTGAAGAAAAGCACTCGGATTCGGCTTTGGCTCAGATGAGCATAGCACTAAAGCTTCATTCTCTCTAAGGCAGCCGGGGTAATGGGAATCACACCGGATGGTGAAACTAAAGCATCCACCAGTACATCATTCGGGGTGACCGGTATTACTTCATCATCCATTATCTGCACGGAATAAGACAGTACGACGAATAGTGGCTTCCTCCAATCCTTTTCCTTGGCAAGCTCTTTGTACTTGGTCAAGAAAGTATCATAATATCCCCCGCCACGGCCTAACCGTCTTCCAGATCTGTCAAAAGCAAGCCCGGGCAGAATGAACAAATCGACTGGATCAATCACACGCATCACATCTTCACGATCATTTCCGCCAGCATCAACTGAAGCAGGTTCCAAAATGTTCATAGAATTTGCAACCAAATCATCCATTCGTGATATATTGAACATTCTCATGTTACTATTCTTGTCCTCTACACGAGGAACATAAAGTTTTTTTGTAGTCTGAGGCACACTACTACCATCTGGAGCAGAGGGTGGATTGTGCAGAATTTGAGATAACAATTTAGAGGTATCAACTTCACGTAAAGCGCTGCAGCTTATATAGGCACATAATCTCTTACTTGATTTGAACCATGGAGCTTCCAAAACTATACTCTGGATCATATCATCTTCTTGGGATCGGAGGGACGGATCCATAGACTTGAGGGCTTGACGAACTTTGGTGCGGAGGATCCGTTTTTGCTTGAAAACGGATTCAAGATTGTCTGGCTCTTGATTGTTGTTGGACATTGCTGGCTGGCTACTGGTAAAGTTACATACTCAGAAAATTGAAGTTGACAATAAGACTAATGTAATTCGATTTTCCCATTATATTATTTCTTAAAAAATAAAAATAAAAGGCAAAGCATCAATGATCTTGCAGAAAAACTAAAATAACTATAATGATTCACCAATTTGATTCATTGAGTGGAGTTCTAAAAACAACTACGAAGCTTAATCCTTTCAGAAATTTATCAAAATAATAATTTGCGTAATTAATCCCTAATTATCTTCAGCTTCCAGCTCGCATTTTCCAGCTACTAGTAATTTAAAAAAAAATTCCATCAAGGATTAAGCATACAGACGCAGTAAAGATCTAATCTAACAGTTCCCGACCTATCATTAAAAAAGCCGAATACAATTCTGTTTTATACTATAAGATTATTTAATAGATATAAGTAGGAAAAGAAAACTTACAGTAGCGATCGATGTGGTTTAATTTCAGTTGATGTAAGCTCAGCTGTGGGCGGAGCAACCGAGCAAGCAAGCCAATGGCGAGGGAGGCGCGGCAGTGGGAGGAGGCGGAGGCTAAGCAGCGCAGAGTCTACAAGGAATATCATAGTTAAAGGGTATCATCTTGTATATAAATCAATAGTTAGTTAGGGTTTGATCTATAAAATAATGAGGATTGACTGTGGATGAAATATCAATGCATTGAAGACAAATTTTGATTAGGGATAAATTTTAAAAATTAAATAAATTTTAAAAATTCATATAAATAACACATAACATTAAGACTCTTAATAATTTAATAAAATTAATAAAACCAACGTACTTGTATTTTTATTTAGGTGAAAAATAATGTGATATTCGTCTTAATGTGGTTAGCGTTTTCATTATTGACCGTTATAGTACTTGCGTCATGGTGTTGACGTTGCAGTCCAGAGTGTTGATATGACAGTTCATGTGTTATGTTTGAGTTATCAATTTAATCAATCTATTATGTCATCTGTCACATTAATCTGCCACTATTCCATGTCAATATCGCGGACTACTATGATATCGTGAACTGCCACATCAGTACCGTAACAGTCAACGATGAAAAAACATTAGTCAAAGGGTTACATTGAATTTATTTTATGAATTAAAGAGTCACATTAAAAAAAAAATATGAGGATCACATTAGTTTTTTTTTTTAATTTCAGAGACATCTTTTATTTAAAAAAAATTATAAACTCATTTTAAATTAGAAAAGGAGAACCAATGTATTAAGAATAAATCAAAATAACCAATTCAACCTAAATTCTTTTGAAAAAAAGTTTAAAATAGATTAAATTGAAATTAATAACTAAAGTATGGGATCAAATTATGTAAAGCATAAGATTAAATTTTCAGATTTTGTGTAATATAGGGAATAAAGTCAAATTTAGACAAAAATATATGAAGAATTATGAGTTTAGTACATAAATTATCAGTTTTGATTTTTTTAATACCTAAACTTTTAAAAATATTTTTAAAAAAATAACGTGATAGTATCATGTCAGCGATCTCGATGACCTAGACGTCTACGTCAATTTTACCCTCCTCGTGTGTGCGCTTTGTCAGAACCCGACTTTGACCGTCAGTTGATTGACGTTTTTCATCCACCGTGGGTTATTTTTGACAAAAAAAAAACGTTTTGTGCACAAATATTTCAAAAAAAAAAACGGATAAATTTGACACTACTATTAAACGTTAGATTATTTTATTGTATTATGTCTTTTTAAAAAAACAAATTAATATTAATATTAATATTTATTTGTTGATTTTAAAAAATGTAGTATAAGGATTTTTAGTTTATGTTCGAGTTCAAGTTTGAATTTTGATCAAGTTAAGTTAAGATTTTTTATTTGGAGATTTTATGAACTTCAAATTTTGATTTCGAGATCGAGTCAAGCTTGAAAATTTCAGGTTAATAAGTTTTCGAATCAGACTCGAGTTATATTTTAAAGTTTTCGAGTCGAGTTTAACAATAATCGAGTCGGCTCGTTTAATGAGTTTTCGAATCATACTCGAGATCTATTTATAAGTTTTTGAATCGAGTCTAACTCAACAATAATCGAGTTGGTTTGTTTACATCCATATTTGTAACAAGGAGTTTTAAGACGCAGAATAAACCAACAAAACACTGTACGTAGCGAACTCGGCAATGGTTCCTTGGTCGACCTGGTGTCGGTACATAGTTTACAAGCTCGAGTATTCATTCTCACATAGCTGGAAGGTCCAATCTTCGTTACCTTATCTCTTCTCATTTACCATCGCTTTTGCTTTGGATTTGATTTTATCTTGATTTTAGATTTTCTTGTGCGTGCGTGTGTATATGTGTGAAAATTTATGTTTTTGGAGCATTGGGTATTGTTTTCCCCCTCCCTTTTTAACCATTTTCGGGGTTTTAGGTATTTTGATGGCTGGCTTTTTTTGGGGGGGTAATGGTTTAGATTTTTCTTTATTGTTTGGGGGTATTTGGTTAGTTTTCTGATGTTTTCAATTTGTTATTTTAATGCACGAGCTTTTTTTGGGGGGGGGGGTGGAGGGGTTTCTGAATTCGTTTGGAGCATATGCATGAATTTTCTGAATTTGATGATATAGATTATGATCCCTGAATGTCATATTTGATTTCTTTGTTGACCTTGATTTTCAGTGGGTTTTAATGGAGTCCTATGCTGGTATATTGTCTACATTACATGATAAATTCTTAGATTTTGTTGCAAAAGTTCATCGAGTATAACGATTGCTTGTTATCAATACAACTTGAAACCTGTTTCCCAGATGGAATGCCGATATCAATGTTTGAATCTAGGTTTATTTGTGGCAAAGAGTTTGATGTAATCACTTGTATTATTGTCTTGTTGGGCATCATACATTAAATAATTACTTAAATGTAGTTTGGTACCCTTTACATATTCCAGTTCAGCTCTAACATCTAGTAGGCAGGAGCAGGACACCAAAGCCATTGTTGAGGCATGTTCGAAGGAGAAACCCTTGTTTGAAACAATCTCATTGTCTGCACGCACCAATCTTGCAGCTGATTAACACTCTTTTAGATTGACTTTTGTTGTCAGAAACGATGCAAATAAATGATACGAAAACTTTGTACACAACAAGTTAGGTCAATTTATTTCAACATTGGACTTGTAGACACCCGTTTTTGACCGGACTTAAATAATAATATATTATATTATTATTATTATTATTATTATTACTTATTATTATTATTATATTATTAATACTATTAATATTATTTTTTGCAGGCTCCACTACCCCACTATTATCTCAACTACACACCTACCCACCTACTCCACTACCACATGCATCAGGGAGACCAATGGCAGCTTCAGCGTAGGCCCTTGAATTTAACAAAATCAATAAAGCGTGGAAGCCCCACGTCGCCAAGGATTCCTGAATTTAGGAATTGAATTGTGTTGGATATCCGGTCTTTTTTGAAACGTGTAATGGAGAGGAGTGAGATGACTGCTATGGAAACAGACCCAAAAAAAGGCCACTCATTCATCTCTCTTTTGACTTCCAAAAACCGTAGGTCCTCATGAGGGTTTTCCGGTTTCTGAATCAAATCATACACTGAAGAAAAAGCTTGAAGAAGGGAGCTAGAAAAGGAGAATCTGCAACCAAACTCCCAAATAGAACCTAAGAAACCAGTGGTCGAAAATGGCGTCTTAACGCCAACAATGGCTTTCTTCTTCTTCATCCGCCAGAACTCACGCCATTTCACTTGTCAACGCTTATTTATATCAAAACTGATGAAAACACATATTTATTTTTGCATGTTTTTTTTACCTTGTTAATTTTCGTTTCATCGATCAATTTGATTTCAGATACATGTCATCGATGGAGTTGGGAGCTCTAAAGGACATGCCAGATATTCGAAAAAAGTTTCTTTGAAGTTGTTTAAGCAGCAAGAAGCTCCTGGAAGTAGACTTTTATCATCTTACAAGGACACGGTGATGGTTGCTATGAACATGATGAATGCTAGTAAATTCACGAGATGCTTTCTCAAAGGAGGCAACAGCAATTCACTTCTATAGTTTTCGAGCACTAGTGAGTATGTTAACAGCACCAGTGATTGTAATGGGGTTTCTGTCTTCGGATTTTGGCCGATCTCTTCTTTTGCCACCGCCATTGGAACCTCGGCAAGCAAGCTACGTGGATGAGATGGTGGCGTTATCACCCTGCCTGCCTTTTGTGTCGGACCCTCCAAACAACGCCTCTGACACTGTTGCTCCACAGTACTTCGACGTCTTCACTTCTGCTTTTGAATCCGACGACGATTATTGTTTTTAACGACGTCGCTTTTCTGGACTCGCTCTAAACTTCAGGTTGCCAACACCTCTAAGTTCATCAGCAGAACAAGCCATGTTATGCAACATAAAATGATGGAGATATGGCCATGCATTGAGGTTAAAGCAGAACTGTGATTGTGGGAAGTTGAGGTTCTTACGTGTAGGACTTTTTTTTTCAGATTTTTTGTCAATGTGCTGTCACCACTTACCACTATGTGATATTCTTTTCATTTCCAAGTTATTTTCTTTTAGTATTTTTTTATTCATTTCACATTTAATAATTCATTTTTGTATTTATTTATTTTAATCTAACATTTTTATTTTCTTTTTTAGGGACAACTTTAACTAATCAAAGGTAAGTGATTTGAATCGGATTTTTAAATTTTAACTTTAATTTTTTTTTTTTTTTTTAAATTTTTTTTACAACTAAGACAACCGATAAATTAATTGGTACCGAAAGGGCGGTTCAAGGGTGCTAATCCTTCCTTGACCGTAACCGACTCCCGAACCCGACACATTTTTGGTACAACGCAGATCCGGTAAGATGGTGTCCGACCCACCTAAATTCGTTTTAAACTGGTCGGTGGCGACTCTAACCCGATTATTTCAAGTCGAAGCCCAATTCCGGGGCCCAACCGAAAGACGGTTACGACAGCTTGGCGACTCCGCTGGGGACCGGTAAGTGAGTCAGGCCAGAATTAATTTTCGGTTGTCTTTTTATGCGAAGATTTTAAATTTAAATTTATTTATTCGATTCCAATTATTTACCTTTGATTATTTTTCCAAGTAAATAGTTGTACTAACATTTTTTCAATGATTTCAGATTTTCGAAAAGTTTCATCTCAGGCTCTATACCTGAGCTCCGAACCCTTTTAAGTGGGGGTGAAAGCGACGCATTCGTGTGAATTTATTCACCGCATATGCCTAGCAAGTAGCCTTCGGGATTCATATACCTTATGTCTTCGTGTGAATTTATTCACCGTGCGGGCATAAGGGAATGTGTCCCCTCGAGTTTAACTTAGTCCACACAAGCCTGTGATGGGTTTAGGACTAAGGGTCTGGTAAGCCCAAGGGGGCACCGGCAAGGAGAACTCGAGTACCTTTTTTAGAACCTAAACCGAGAGATTATGGAGAATTAGAGCTTACCCCAAGACCTCATTCCAAACCCTAGGATGCTTTGTTTCCTGCTTTATTTCCTGTTCAAAGCATGCGAACTAGACAAATATGCGGCTAGGATTTGTTTGAAATTAGCATGCGGGATAGAAATCATGTATGTATAGGAATATTAAGCATGTTCGGGTAGATTATCATGTGGGGTAGAT